CTGTTACACAATTCCCCACTGCCCAGGATATGACAAACTCCTGTAGTACCTCACTCAACCAGCTGGCTGTAAAGCAGAAACCTCAGTGCTTCAGTCCTAAAACTTTGCTTCTGCAATTTTTCAACTATATGCAACTCTAGGCATCTCATTCCTCTGGAGCTCTGACTAATATCAAATATAAAAGGGCCAACAGTTCCCACTCAGGATGGCTGTGTGTCACACCTCCTGACCCGAGTTCCAAAATTCTGGAATCTTAAGAAATCTCACAACACAAGACTTTGAATTAAAATTCCCTGTCATCCTTCCTGAACAGAAGACACAGAGGAAACTATTTCAGAACTTTAGGTTTTTGAGAAAAGCAATATTTAATATTCACTACCCTCAAGAGAGGACAGAAAAATTTCAGCAGAAGGAGCGTATAAATCCCTCACCTGTCAAGGAGAGGATGGAAAAAAAGAAATGTAGCATTTCTGAAAAGTTAAACCACAGCAGTACTGTATACTACCAGACTTTAACAGAGGACAACAAATAAATTCCTCTTCTTTCAGGGACTTTCTGAGGTGTAGTGTYCTGCCTTTGCAAAAAAAGGACACTATGTCAAACAGGTCAACAAAGAACTGTGACTCCCTCATCCATTTTGACAACAAATTAAAACAGCCTTTCAAGACTTTTAATTGTGACAGCATTTTACTCTTCGAACAGAGAGTCAGGCTCAATCAACTTTAAAACTGTACTTAATACAGGAGTCACACATAACTTCAACTACTCTTGTCTTCTTGGAGACACAGTCAACACACCAGTATTGTTTCATTGCAGGTTGCAGTTAAGAGGCAAAAAAATGCTTATTCTGCAGCTTGGAAACTTGCTAGGATCCTTAGTGCAAATACAAATCAAGTTTAACTTCATTTCTCTACTCCAATTATTYCCTATTGTGTGTAAACATGACATGCTTTACATTCCTCACCATTCCATGACGGCTCATAACTGTTGTGCTGTTCCTGCGAGTCCGCAACACATAAGGCTGAAACACCTGGGAGTTGTCACTGCAGGGAGAGAAAAAGTTTTGTGAACATCTTTTTCGGGTGCGCTTTGCTTAAAGCTCCGCAGTGCTGTGACATGCGCCGCAGACTCCAGAGTGCTAAAACCACATTTCTTTGGAATAGAAACACCGCTGTCGCTGTGAAGCCGCGGCGAGCACCTTCCCTGAGCCAAAGAGGGACAAGGGGGCACGGGCGGCCCCGCGCKCCGAGGGACAAGGGACACGTTCCAGAGGCCGCTCAGGGAGCACCGGGCCTGCCCAAGGCCCGCGGCGGGACCGGCGGACGGCGGCGACCCCGGGGYTCGATCAGCCGAGCCCCCCGGGCCCCTCACCTGAGCCCGTGGATGAGCGGGGCGCTGTTCGACCGCCTCAGGCCGCCGCCGTCGCCCGGGGCCGCGGCGCTCCCCGGCGGCAGCTCCAGGTCCAGCTCCATCTTCTCCTGAGCCATCGCGGCGGCGGCTCCGGCTCCTCCCGCTCCGCCCATTCACGGCCTCAGGCCGCCGCTGCCCCGGCCCTGCCGAGCCCGCTGGCGGGGGGGCGGCCGCAGCAGCGCCGCATCCCGGGGGCGGCCCGGGGGCGGCCAATTCCTCCAGCAGCTGTTGCCGGTGCCGGTGGCGCTGCCCGCGGTGGCGGAGGGAGCGCTCCCGCYGCTCCCGGCGCTTCCCTCGGTGCCGACCGCGCTCCGCGCCCGCCGCCACCGCGCACTGCGCATGCGCGGGAATCCGGGCGCAGGCAGCACCGCCCGCTTCCCAAGGCGCATGCGCRATGGCTCCGCACCCCGGCACTGCTTCGGGCGCCGCCGGGCTCCCGACAGCCACCGGGGGCAGCGTGCGCGCTGATTGGCTGCGAGCGGAGCGTGTGTGTGTTCGAAACGCCGCAACGGTCGCTAGGACGCGCGCGGCGCGGGGGCGTGGCCGTGGCCTGGAGCASGATGCGGGTTCGAGTCCCACCCCGGCCCAAACCCTGCGCGTCCCCAGCCGGGCACGTCCCGGCCCCCTCTTCATGGGAAAAAGGCTTTGCAATCTTCTTCAAGCCTAGGTCCTCTCCGACCTAAGTCCCGCAGCCTTGCCCAGTGTTGTGTTCTCCCCACCCTTCCTTTACTGCTGAAGCACATACCGGGGCTTTGATTGCAATGAGAGTCTGTACAGCTTTCAGAAATCTGGCATAAAATTCCTTACGAGACATGTGATCCTAGTTCTTGGCTGTATTCAGATTTGGGACTGACCTTGGAAATTCCATTCTGAGTGACCAAAGCACCACAGTTTGTGCTTACTTTTATTTTGCAGTATTTTTCCACAATAACAACAACAATATATACATTTGTCTCTTACATGCAGGGGGCTTCASGGTCTTTCCCAGCAYCAAATGTAAAAAGGTCTTCATTTTSTCCTGGGATACAACAGAGGGCTTTTGCCAGAGAGTAGATGTTGAAAGAGTTAACATAGGAAAGTTAAGATTTTTCAATATTTCAGCTACCTTAATTGGGAACATGGCTAGATGAATTTAAAACAGCTGTTCTCTTTAAAACASCTGAAGGTAGATGCTTCTAGATAACCCAGTAGAACTCTTGTTTCTGTAGCTTAATATTTATTATGGTACCTCCTTGCATTTTTTGTTAATCAAGACTGACTTGAGCATATTCCAATTTTCTACCTTCGGGGACTCTCGGTCTCATCAACTGATGATTCTTACATTTTTTTCATTGAACTGATACTATTAATGAAGARCATGCTGAGATGCACAAAGATGCACAGAGATGAGTTAAAAGATAAGTTTAAAATATTTAATATTTTCAGGATTTTTTTGATATGTATTTATATTGAAAAACCCAGAGAAAAAAATCTTTGTCTTGTATTACTGCAGAGGAAACACCTTTCACTGTCCTGTGACCCTGCTTATACTATGGCCTATCACAGCCATAATGACTCCCTTCTCTGAGATGATTCACAGTTGTCATCTCCTGCAAAGACTGAGAACATAAATATCCACATATTTTGCTTAATTTCAAATAATTATGACCAATCTGATTCACTGTAAGATTAGGATCTGCAGCTGTGAAAGATGCAGATATACTGTTTATAACCTTTAACAGTCACATTCTCCAAAAGCTAAACCACACTTTCACAGAACCTGCACAATTCTCCTTGTCTGGTGCTTCAGCACAAGCATCTCACAGCTTGGGATAGCTTCCATGCCTTCATTTTCCATGGCTAAAATTGCCTAAAAGGCAATTCAGGTGACAGTAGTGACAGTACCTAGCAAAACTTGTAGCCCTGAATGGAAATCTACTCACAAATATACTGGTTTTCTTAATACAAAACCCACCTGCAGGATCTGACTACAGYACCAAACTATGTGGATTTTGCTTTTTATTTTTATTGTGGAGTTATTCTATTATGTCCTTGCCACTAAGGGCAGCAAACAGCTTCAAATGCCATGTTCCAGAATACTGTTAAGGAAAAGTAACCTTTTGTGTCAGAGACCAAAATGTGTSAGAGACCTCAAAAACATCTGCTCCACTTCTCAAATTTTCCAGTGCCAGGCACATCATCCAGGGTCTGACCAGAGTTTACTGCAGCTAAGATAACTTTAATGGGAATATATATATAAAAGAAAGTGGGGACTGTCAAGGTGACCCTCAAAAGGCTGAGGAGGGTAATGAGGCAAAGGGGAAGTGCTTGTGGGAGAGCTGTGCTGTGGAACAGAATAATGCAAATGAGGRAGTCACAGGTTGTTGAGTTGGATAAACAGCAAAAATGACTATGGCAAGAGGGATTAAGAAAGGAGAGAACACTCTAAACAGAGCCTTTGGAGGACACACACAGAGGATGGAGACTCATAGTGGGGCAACAGAGACTGAAAGAATGGGATAGGTTGGTACAGTGATACAGAGGGACTGGGGGGCATGAAGTGGGTGATGATGTGGGAGGTATKTGATAGTGTCAGGGAAATACCCCTGTGGGTGAAATAAGCACGGCCACAATTACAAAATGCCATCAGCCTTAGATAAATTAGTAAGAGTGGGGCACATGAAAAAATGTTTTAGCTCTCTATAACCTACCTTCTTTCTCTGGTTATTTCTGTTCCTAAAGACTGCCKGAAACTGCCACCTGGAATACAAACAGATGAAGAGATGGAGCATCTCTCTTATGAGGAGAGGCTGAGACGATTGGGGTTGTTCAGCCTGGAGAAGAGAAACCCTGGGGTGACMTCAYTGTGGCCTTCTGGAACCTKAAGGGAACCTAAAAAAGAGATGGAGAGAGATTATTTACAAAGGCCTGGAGTGACAGGACAAGGGGAAATGGCTTCAAATTAAAAGAGAATGTGTTTAGAATGGATATTAAGAGGAARTTCTCCCCTTTGAGGGTGGTGAGGCCTTAGCACAGGGTGCCCAGAGAACCTCTGTCTGCCCCATCCRTATGTTTAAAGTGTTTAAAGCCAGATTGGATGGGGCTTGGAGSAACCTGGGATAGTGGAAGGTGTCCCTGTCCATGGCAGGGGGGTGGATGAAGATGGTTTTTAAGGTGCCTTCCAATCCAAACCATTCTGTGATTTATAGTTAGTTCCCCTGTTAAGGCAAACYGCAGACTCCCCACTTCTTCCACGAGTTRAGACCCTCAGCGCAGTCTACCAGTCAGTGGTGGCACTGACCTTCTAAYCTATTTCACCACAACCTCCTCTAGGTATAAACTAGGGTCACATATAGGTATTAAAGTATTGTGAAAACGTTTGGTTTTATTCTTTATTCCTGGAGCTGTCTGGGCCTGCACAGAACCACCCGCTGTTAATCGTGCGAGCGACAGCAGCTCGGTATGAACTCCGAGGCGTTATTTTCGCCATTTAGCGATCAGCTTTGCGGCCTTTGGCGAGAAAGCGCTGGCGAACACACTTTGGACACCCAAAATTTGCCGGAGCGGCGGCCGAGCGGCCGGAGCGCTGCGCCTGCGCCCTGTGGCCGGGCCCGCCTGCGCTGGGGCCGGGCGGGGAGAGCGGCCCGGGGCCGCGGGGGCTGCGGGAATCAGCGGGGACCAGCGGGGACCAGCGGAGATTAGCAGGGATCAGCGGGCACGGGCCATCCCCGGAGCCCCGAGATGCGGCTTCGCTGCTGYGGCCGCCCCCCCGCCAGCGGGCTCGGCAGGGCCGGGGCAGCGGCGGCCTGAGGCCGTGAATGGGCGGAGCGGGAGGAGCCGGAGCCGCCGCCGCGATGGCTCAGGAGAAGATGGAGCTGGACCTGGAGCTGCCGCCGGGGAGCGCCGCGGCCCCGGGCGACGGCGGCGGCCTGAGGCGGTCGAACAGCGCCCCGCTCATCCACGGGCTCAGGTGAGGGGCCCGCGGCGCTCCCGGCCCGGCCCGGCCCGCCTGGGGCTGAGGGGATGCTCCGCGGCGCCCTGGGGAAAAGTGGGGTCCTGAGCGCTGTCCCRGGCGGGGAGGGATTTAGGGAACATATCAACGTGTGGAGGGGTGCGAGGAAGCCTAGCGAGACGTGCTTTGGTTTTACTGAAACGCTTTGTTTTCACCGAGGTCTGCTGTGTGTTGCAGAGAAACACCGTCCGCAACGTCAGAGTTGTGGCTGTTCTTATACATCGAATAACAATCGCGATGATTGCTGTAATAGATCAAGTCCGAACAAAATAAATCACTTCTCTGTGTATGATTACAACAGTAAATGCTTTCAAAACAGTCAGGCAAATTTGGTGAGGACGGTCATTTCACGGGACCTTGACATAAGTTTTACATTTAGTGTAAAACAGTGTGTCAGGTGTCCAGGAATTTTTCTGAGTGATACTAATTTTTGTAGCGTGCTTTACTGGGAGAAGTGCAATGTGTTGTGTAGGCAGTTGTGCTTGGATATTGCCACCAGCCTGTGGCAGGTTTGTTTGCAGGAGGGTTGGGTGTTTGCCAGGTCTGGCTCTCTTCAGCTGACAGGACAGAAAGTGGCAGCGGCAGGCAAGGGCCAGGTGAAAGCTTTCAGACAGGTAGGGTTTCTTATATAGTTTTGTTTAGGTAAGTTTATAACCCAGAGTGCTGTTTTGTTTCTCCTCTGGGCTGTTGAGAAGTTGGGAGATGCCCCATCTGCTGTGTGGTGTGGCTTCCATCCAACTGTAAGGTGCTGTTCGTGGTGTGTCTGCAGTTTGAGAGAGCATATTGACAGTAAACTTCATAAAAYGAAATATATTACATGATAAGTACTTCCAGGTGTTCGATTTTKTTCCCTTTCTGTTTTCCATCATATCAAGTGATGAACAAATCTCACATACCTCTTTTACCRAAATGGTTAACAGTACCTGACAGTTCAGAAGAAATACTGCTTCTTGCCTATTCCATCATGATTTAATGTTAAGTGGAGTAACTGTGATTMTTTTACATAATCACAGTGAAACAACTCCCATTTTACATTTTGATGCAGTATGGAAGGGTTGGATATGGCAGCTCTCCCCTGGGAGGTTTCTGAGCAGGTAAACTAATTGTGTAACTGAGACAAAATGGTTTAATAACCTCAGCCTTTTGTAAATTGTGAATTGTAAGACTCTCGACTCTTTAAAAAATAAACCAAAACCAAACAAATTATTTTGTTCAGGATTTGGGCAGGTAGAAGGGTAAGCCTGAGCTCTTGCTTTGACACTGTACATGCACTGTGAGTTAGGTGTTCATAGAAATAAAACTGAAATGCCATTGAAGTGATTTGAGGTGGTTGCAGTGGTTTGCCTGTTAGTTTGGAATTTTCCGTCAGAATACTGTTTTTGCAAGATTGCAGCTCTTGGCAAGAAACTTCAGYTTTTCCCAGAATGGCTTTGTTGGGTAAACTGAAACAAAAGCTCTTGCTCTTACACAGCTTGCTTTTTCTCCTCTGCCTCCTGTTTTGTCTTCTTCATTAACAGATTTAGTAAGGAACTTGGAGAATGAGTTGCCATAGATCCAGAGAACAATTATAAGTGGAATATTTTAGATCACAGAAGTTCTATTTCACAGAACTTTTAAGTCTTGTTTTTGTGCCAAATAAAATTGATTTTTAGTGGGAATTGTAGATTTCTGTGAAAAGYGAGTCTGAGATCTGACCAACTCTGGTGTTTTTGCAAGGGAGATTAAGGGTAGGGGTTTTTGTAGGGTTTTTTTCTCTCCCTCTCTGCACAGTAGCACTGACTATTGGACTCAGCCCATGGTAATGTGGGACAGAATTGTTCCGACCTGTTTTATTGACTCAGACTCTGGATTTCAGGATGTGCTGTTTGTGTTCTGTTTGCATGCCAACCAGTACACTTACACTGAAAAGAATTTGTAGCTGTTGGCCTCAGCCAAACTCATCTCTAAACATCATGTCASAGATCCCTTAAATTTCTGCTGTTCCACCTCTGCCACATGGCAGCTGTTTGATTTCTCATGGGTGTGAGCTGAGTGAAACTTCTTGGAAAATTGTAAATGATGTCTGGTCCTATGTACCYGGCATTTTGGAGGAGAGTCTATGCGTTTTTCTTGGCAGAAAGTACAGTGCTTATGCCAATTGCTGTTGGTTTTTATTTCACAATATAAGCTTTATTTGTTTTTTATTTACAGCTACGTAAAAGCTGTCTAAAACGTCTGTGTCTAACTGGTGTGTTTTAAAGTGGGGGATTCTGACAATGGTGTGTCAAGAATGTGCAGTAAGATTATCAGTCCTTACAAGAGAATAGTGCAAGAAATTGTGTTTGGGGGGCTTTTGTTCATCCCAAGTTAGCAGCTGAAACAAAAAGATACAATGTGAATTCTTGCAATTGGTATCTGATTRCAGTCTTGCATTTGGATTTCTTCAYCATGCAGTTCCTCATCTGGGCATRGGAATTGTCGGATTGTGGCTCAGATTTTTTTTTGTTTTGTAGTGACCATAAAATTTGGTTTATTTCTGCAATTGCATTCATTAAGTGCTGATCCTTGGCTGTTGACAACACTGGTGATGACATGACCAGTGAAATAGAACTAAAGTTGCCTTGAGAAAGGAGTTCATTTTGTGTCAAATAAATAATCCTATACGATTTAAATATATTTGCTGCTGTGGGGACTTAAAAACTGGTTTTACTGTAAGTTTAATTTAACCTTTCCTGGAAAAGCTTTCCAGAATATATTACATGTTTGTGGTGATAACATTTATCAAGATGCTGTATTTTTAAAATCTGTTTTATCCTTGGGATCAAAGCTGGTTTCAGTTACTGCTTACGTGCCATTTATATACATTTGTTCTGTTGAATGACATTTTAAGCAATAAACAAGCAGCAGCGTTCCAAACATAATAAATCCCCACAGTCTAAACAATTCTTCAGTTATTCTGAAGACACAAAATGATTAATTGAAATAATTAATTGAAGTAGCTGGGAATTGGAGGATGAACAAGYTGATTTGCACTCTCTGCCAACAAGYTAAAAGAGTTCTTACCTACCTGTCTCTGGAGTGCTTTGTCTCGACAGGAGAGCTGTCATAGCACTTGAAACTGAGCTTATATGGAGAGGGACTTTTTGCTAGGAAGGAAATGGCTTTTGCATTTGACAAGTGTTTCTTTTCACAGCGATAACTCACAGGTGTTCCAGGCCAGCGTCTTGCGCACCCGCAGGAACAGCACCACGGTCATGAATCGGCACAGCCTGGTAAGGAAGCTTACACCAACCCCATCAGGTGCCAAGCAGARGTGTGCAAACAGGAATAAACAAAATTAGATTGTAGTCTGTGAAACTAATACGACATTGCTTTCAGAAACAAGGCTCTACACTGTGACATTAATATGCTGTAGCTACAGTGAAATGTTACTTATAGACCATTTGGCTTGGTGAATACTTGGATTTCCTTCTGATCATAACTTTATTATAAAATAGATGTTCCAAGATAGAGTAAGAAAGGTTGTTTGCTAAGAAAACTAATTACATGGCTGCACTGTTGTCAGTAATCAATGTCTTAAATGATTTCTGATRCTTAAGAGAAAAAAGTGCAGACAAACACTTCAGCAAAGGTTTTCATCTGTAACAGAACCAGGAYAGTTATGTAYAAGGAAGATTGTACAAGGAAGCCTTTCTCCTGCTGGGATATAAAAACTGACAGAAAGTGATATGGTCWAGATTTCTTAAMCAGGTCTCTTTCTTCATATTTTTTAGGGTGGCAGCTTAGTGTAAATCTGTTTGTGCTTGTGGTCAGGCAAAAGGAAAAAAAAACAAAGGTGAAAGCTCAGCTTATTGTGTTGACAACTGGAGATTCTCAGTTGCTGGTCTAAAGAGATGCTAATTCAGGGTGCCTTGCCCAGAACTTGCTGGGAAGCAGGAGCTAATTTATGATGGGCGGCTCATCTGCCTGCCCCTTGTGAATGTTGCAATCTCCTGGATTTGTGTTCCCACCTTCATGGGATGATGTTCTAACCCTACCCATCACACTAATGATATTAAAACGTGTCTTTCTTCACTCGCAGCTGACCAGCTGCTGACAAAATCTTACACTAAAAATCAAGTGCCCCACTGACTGCTAGATCAGTGCCTTGTCTGCTTTGAAATGTTCCTTTGAGTTATGGTCTGGTTTGTGCTTCTGTTGAAAATGGCAGGGAGGATGGAATTGCAAAGGATCTTAGAGACTTTTGTCCTTCTGTGGTCTTAAACCAAGATCATCTRCAGGTAAATGATTTTGTGAAAATAATTAAACTTTCAGCATYAAGGACCCTAAGCAGCCGTCCCTGGTATTTTTCCTATAGTAAAGAAGYACTTGTAGTTTTATTATGTTAGAGGTATTCTAAGGAGCTAGATCATATATGATTTGGTAAATTAAATTTTASGTAAGAAGGTGATAAAGTGTACTTCAAAACCCACTTCTTTGTATTTAAGAAAACTAATCCAAGTTTTACTACAGTGTAAGCTGTAAGAGGGTTAAAAGATTCAGTAAGTGACTGAAACGTCTTTATTTTAGCATTACAAGTACAGCTTAAGTTTTCTGTTTTGTTAAACTTTGTGGAAAAATAGTTGATTAGTGTTTGTCTAATCTGTGTGGTGTTCCCTGTCATGGGAGCTCTGGGAGTTGCTAAAATCTCTGATAACTGAAGGTCATGCTCCATCARCTCCATCTTCAGTGCTGTCCCAGTTGCTCAGCTGAATTCTACAATCTGTGTTTGGAGCATCTTCTCCAAGTGTCAGACTCTACCTGGTTTGTAATGATGACTGCAAGAGCAGTGGTGCCATTTGGGCTGGGGCTTGATCTGCAGTTTTCTGACAGTACATGTTACTAAAGTAGGGTCAAACAGGCTCAATATCTGCTGTTTATTTCCTTCCAGAAGATACCAGTGAGTAAATGTTTTGGTGTTTCTTTATTTTGTTTTGCATGGCTGGGGTTTTTGTTTTGTTGCTTAGGCAGACCAGTTGGGTCTGCGGTTAGATGTTTAGGTGCTATTTCAGCAGAAGTTGATGTTAAATTTTTTCAGTTTTTTTTTCTTCTTTTTTTTAGAGCTGGGTAATTTCCCTGCTGGGTTCAGTGTGGCCCCACAAGTGGCTGTTCTGGCGGGAGGCAGAGGGCACTGCAGGGCAGGGCAGAGGCACTGGGGCAGTCCCTGCTCATTTGGGCAGTGCCTTCTGCCAGCCTGGYACTGCTGAAACTTTACCTGCACTGGAACACAGTATCTGACCCACTGGAGAAGGGGGGAAGGTGTTTCTCCWCCCTGTGATAGTCTAATAGTTTATAGTGTTTTCATTAAGCTTTGYGTTCTCTTAAAACAGTGGAGATTTGAGTAGCATAACTTTAATAAATGGGTTCAGTTTGTTAAGTGAGCATCCTTTGAAAGTGACAAAGGTTTCTATCCACAAGAATTAAATCAAAGGATGCAAACAGGGAAAAAGTGAGTTTAATACACTAACAAAGCAAGGATGATGACTTGTTGGAAACAAGATGTAGGATCCTCAGAGCTGTGGTAGTGCATCAGACCCTGCAGAGGAACACTTAATTGTCTTTTTATAATTTTTGTTTTATACCACAAGCCACTGTTTTTGTACATATTCTATTAATGTCAAGCCTGAAAATATGTGGATCAGAGTCATAAAATTAGAATATAATGAGTGGAACAAATGCATTTCTACTGTGGAATGACAGAGTGAATAGGCAGGAATGCACTATTGTCCAAATCCTTTTCTCTATGTGAGAATCAAGGTCAACTCAAGGTCTGCATTGGCTGGTGCAGCTTGGAGGAATTTTTATTAGGTGCACAGGATTTTTGGGAACCCAGTGTAACAGTAAAGCTGACCTAAACTGGACTTTAAAAGTAGCAAATCAAGATATTATAGCTCTTAGACTTTAGTTCTATATACTACAATGACTAAATTCTGGCACAAACGTTAGTCATCCTCTGCRTGAGCCTGATAGGCTGAATTCTTTTGTGAGAAGGGTGTGATGTCTTGATGTTTGTTTTTTYAGAAGGAGGTTTCTGGGTATATGAAGCAATAATAGTCTGTGTTAACTTACCCTGTCAGGCAGCAAAATCTTTGTAYTCTCAGTGGCACTGATGAGAAGATGGTGCAGTAACAGTTAACTGAATACTTGTTACTTCTCCAGCTTCAGCATGATGAAGAGCTCTGGTAATGTTTCATGAAGCAGAAGAAGCCCTATAATGAATGAAGTATAAAAACACCTATAATAATGCAAACCTTACTTGCTGAGCACATCCRTTTTAAAAAGACACCTTATTTTTTGGAAGGATTGTCATCTTACAGAGAAGTTAAACCTCTATTCAAGGCTTCAGCTTAGAATTTTTGTTCACTGAATGGCTATCACATAAATCAACTGAGGGTTGACAATGTGAGGGATGGGAAATATATGAAAGAAAATTATATTTTGAGAAAATAATCACTTTAAATTACTCGGTTTTGAGTGTGCAGTTTCAGATCATAGCATTCCAGTGAGCTCTTGATGCAAAACTGTCAACATTAACAGAAGACCATTTTTAGTGRCGTCTTCTCTGATTTCACCCAAATTGGTGAAGCTCTTGAGCAACCGTAAAGAAAGTGTTTAACTCTTTGTTAGCTTTCTAATAGCTGATTTTTTTCACCTGTCAAAGTACTCATTTATAGGCAGACAACAATCCAGAAACCTTTTTGTACAATGTTTTGTTTTGGCTTTGTATTTTTAAAGGATCTATTGGGGAGCTTTCTGGATCACTTAAATGAAAATAAATATTCTGAATCACATAAAGGAAAATATTTGTGCCAACATATATACTTGGGGTGACAGTGTGCTAATGAAAAGCAGCTCCATTCTGGGAGGAAGGCTGTCAGTTCTAGTTGCCTGGAAATGGAATGGAAGCCAGGCTGATACCAATTAGCATCTGGGARCTTACAAAGCAGTATAATGTGGAAATGCATATTAATGTGTTCTTGCAAGTAAAGTAACTAGGTTTTATATATATTAAGAATGTTATAAGTGATTTCTTTTTAATTTCTTTTTTTGTTAGGGGCAGCACTATAGAGGGATTACTAACATTCCTGTGGCACCTTTCTTTCTCCTGTTGTACTTTGAATTGTGTGTGACTTTGTTTTGCAGTTTGTGCCATCATCTCCTATCCGTATTCCTAGCAGCCGGCTTCATCAAATCAAACAAGTAAGCACAGATCCTTTTAAATTAGTTTTCTATAGGTGGCTGTTTTTTTTTTTTTGCAGTTGATGTGTTATGTCCTTCAACTGACTGTAGATTTTGTTTTCAAACTGTCTGCCCAGTTGTACATTTCATGAAGCAAAATGCATCTTACAGCAAAGAGAAGATTTCAGCAGAGAGAGGATTCTTAAAATGGACATTTTAGAAAGGAAACCTTTAATGTAAACCCTTAGGGTAAAGTTCCACCAAGTTTTTGGCAGCAGTGCCAGCATAAATATTCGTGGCCAATAACAAAGTGTTCCTTAACTTGTGTTGGCACAAGACTTTTGTGCAGCCAGAAAATGAGCAGGATAAGGAAGCACTCTGGCTGAAAAATAGTCTGTACTCTTCTGGCTGGGCTATTTTTCATCTGTATAATTTTCTTATCCAGATCCCTGTACTTGTGCTGTCACAGCACGAACAGAGGGGGAAGGGCACCAGAGCAAACACTCGGGAAGGGGGGTGGTGTGGGGAATATCTGAGCAGGCTCAAATAGCTCTGCTCCCAGCCAGCACACCACAGGCTGAAGACTCCAGCTTTAAAATCAACAAGCTCAAACTCTTTTTGAGCTCCTTCATTTTGTACCTCCACTTTTTGACAGTAAAATGTTCATAAAATTGGCTTGAAGGTGCTTAATTTTTTTAAAATTTTGTTTTTTCGTTGTCTAGTTTTCAGTGGATAGGCTTCATTTTTACAGGGTCAAAAGTTAAGAAAATTATTTAATGCTTCAGACAGCATTTTTAGGGTATGGTGCCTGAGTGGTGGAAGGCACTTCTGCTTCCCACCTTGGTTATTTAAGGTAGTTGCACAGTAATCCTGAAGAAAATAACTGCTTCTTTTCGTTATGTAAATAATTTACTGGCTTAAATAGGCTCTGAAGCACTTGGGTCAGTTGTACAGCTCTTTTTATCAATATAAAAAAGCTTAGGATTAATATGTAAATATCATAGWATCGTAAATTAGTTTGGGTTGAAAGGRACCTTTAAAGGTCATCTGGTCCAACCCTCCTGCAGTGAGCAGAGAGATGTAATGAGAAATATGCTGAGAGCAAAAGAATGAACTGTTATGGCTCTKCTCTATTACATGAAGTAAAATTTGACAGTTCAGTCTTCTGGAAAATGCTTCTGCATTCATGTTTGTGCCATGCATTTATTAAAGCAAACAGTGTAATTTCCCAATTTGTGTTTGAGCATTAGATTCACTAGTTAGAATTAATGCCATGTTCTGTRTACTTACTGAGAACCTGTGTGATTTACTTCTGGTCTCTTTCAAATCTGAGCAAATTATCACACAGGTGAAGTAGGTTAGATTTGTCCTACTTATRATGAGGATTGTGAAGATGTTTAGTTGAGCTTTAATTCTTGAATTAGGGAATCTACTCATTCACTGGACAGACTGAGTAGCATTCAGTTAAATTTAAGAAATGGTGTCTGCCTAAGAGGAGATTGAGTCATGTTTGTACTTGGTGTTAATATTTAGTTTAATTTTACATATTTGATCAATTTTAATAATACTTTATGAAGTTTTTTTAGAAAAAAAAACCTCACTGAATCCTAAATTTATTGTGTGCAAGGCAGTGTATTGCAAATGAGATTCTGACAAGTGTCTCGTTAGTCACTAATCCTTAGAGTGAGGTAAGAATCCAGCCATGCTTTTGAGGTTTATCTGTGCCAGTGTCCCCTTTGTAAAATGATATTACTCAAGACTGCATAAAGGTACTCTGGCATGTGCAGAATTTTTGGTTCATATTACCATTGTTCAGTTTTGTAGCTACTTCTTGGTTAGTAATGAAAATAAAGCTGCTTGGGAAACAACCAGCTCCCATAAGCACTTCTCATGTCATGGTCTCCCTCGCTACATCTCTCTCTCATCCTGTCCTCCTCACTCCTTTTCATGGAGTGAGAACTTGAAGTTATTGTTGCTTAACCGAGTTGAATTAAATTTTCCACATGCCAAAGTGAAGTGAAACCACAGCTTTTCTGATCTACTGGAACAAAGTGCTTTCTTTTCTTTTTGACCTTACTTCTTCATGTGCTAATCTTTTAGGAAGAAGGAATGAATTTGCTGAACAGGGAAACGGTTCGTGAAAGGTGAGCACTAAGGCAAAGTAGAACAGTCACTGCAGCCATCTGTGGGCCCAGGACAATATATTTCTTTTCTTCTTTATAGAGAAGTGCAAGTAGCAATGCAGATGAGCCACTCATGGGAGGAGAGCTTGAGCCTGGTAATGCATTCATGCTTTAATTTGTGTTTCTATTGTCAGTATCAGGATACTAGAGACTCTCTTTCCTTTGATAGTTTGACCTACAATTAAGGTGTTAGTATAGGACTGCTTTTGATCAGCAGTTTTTCACACTAACAARGCATAGAATTATCAGTTGTACAGGGTACATGTGGGTTCCTTGGGCTGCTATYTCAAAAGGAAATTGCATGGATGTCTGCCTGTTTAAATTTTCCTCCATGTTCTGATACTCTCCATGTAACATTTAAGCCTTTTTTTTTTTTTTKTTAAGCATAAGCTCATTAATGGTTGCCTAAAAATTATATATCTTTGGAATTTCGCACCAGTCTGTCATTTCCTTGTAAAGATCCCTGCTCATAATATTAATTATGTGTACTGTTTACAGAGCGACAATGATTTTGAAAAATCACTATCACCAAAGCAAGTAGATTTTGTTCCAGTTTCTCCAGCYCCTTCACCTACACGAGGAATTGGGAAGGTGAGCAAAATGTGGTAATAATGGTTTTATCTTAAATAGAGCTAAATAAATTCAACCAAATTAGTAGGAAAATATCAAGCCACCTGCTACTTTCTAACTCAGCTGCAAACCAGAAACTAGAGAGTAAATAAAACYTCTTAAAACCCCAAACCAGAAAATACCAGCTGCTCATCTTGTAGATGTGAATTTCTGTGGAGTGTTCAGCTGTTATTCTGTGGTTAATAAAAAACAAATAAGTGTTTAACCAGAGTACAGTCGTCCCCAATGCCACAACTGTGAAATAAATCTRCATGAAAATGGAATCTGTCCAATTTTTAATTTTCTATTTCTCAACTGCAAAAAGTGGTGTCTCAGTATACCCAGTGACTGGTTGCTAAACTTGATACTGGGTTGTTTATTTCTCTGCAGTTATGCATCAATTGTTACCACATGGGARTGATACAGTATTTATAAGTAATAACACAAACTCTTTTCCTCTCAGCAATGTTTCTCACCATCTTTGCAAAGCCTGGTGAGCAGCACTGGGTTGCCTCCAAGTCCCAGCCCTAGTCCAACCAGGAGATTTTCAAGGTAAGTCATCAGATCATATCCATGATAGAAAATTGGTGTAATTTGTTTGTAGCAGGCATTCAAAATACCATCATTTGTTATATCTATAATTGATTTTTGAGCACAACCACGACTTTATATACTCATATGGACTCTAGATTTTACAGTGTTGTAAAACATTTGTCAAAATCCTCATGTCATAACATTGGGAAATGGGCTGCTTCTGTCTTCCCAGTGTAGTCTCTATATTGCTCTCATTCACATCTTGAGTAGTTGAATTCTGAGGGSAAGAAAACACCAACACATTTGGGGTTTGTTACTCCTTTGTGTGATGTGGGCATCCAATTAAATTTTACTAGGCACTCGCAGTTCAGCAAAGCACTGCCTGTCAACTGAGATGTAGTCAGGGCCTGGATGTGAGCTTTTAGACTGCCCCAGTTGTGAAATAATGTAATTAAACTTTTCCTGCTTAGTTCTGTGCTTCCTGGCCTATCTTCAGAAGGGAAAAAAAAGGACTTGTTTTGGATGAACTRTTTYAATGCCTATTTTCTTAGTGGTTTCYACTYAGTAGTTTGTTTTCTGAATATCTTTTGATTATTTTTTTCAACCTTTCTCTTTTAATGGTGATCTCAGTACAGCATTTGCCTTCTTTTAGCAGGAGAAGCCAGAGCCCAATTAACTGCATTCGGCCAAGTGTTCTTGGATCAATCAAAAGAAAAGGTACWATATTTAGGTTTGGCTAATACAGCAGGTCACCTTGTTAATTATATAATAATTCATGTAGCTTTCTTCATAATTCTGTCCAGTTGGCTGACACTTCAAAAAGCTACTAGAAGTAGAATATATTACACATAATATACATAAAAGCCATTAAATTAGATTTTACTGTTCCATAAAGTTAGTAGTTGTTTTGTTCTGTTTTCTCCCTGTTGCTGTGGYTGTATAGATGAGATAAAAAGGCTGATATAACCTGCTTAACAAAGCAATAAATACATAGATATATTTAACTTAAACAGAAAACTTTGAAAGTCCTGGTTAACTGAGGCACGCAGCTACTGTACATTTAAAATAACTCTTCAAAACCCAAAGCTGATGCACAGGCCTGATAAGCACCTTACAGCTTTATTAGGAAATGTTTCTCTTTCTTCCTGCATTTTTCTTCAAGTTTGACTTTTGGCAATTTTATTGTATCTATTTTCATATTTTCATGCTTCACTTTTGTTACAGAATACCTCTGACAACTTTTAAAACCCTTCCATCTGAGTTCTATCRTAGCCTATTTAAGCATATATCTATCCTCTCTTCTTCTGGAGTATTTGAAAATCAACATCTAGAGAAAAGTTTTGTGATAATCCTGGAGCTTGTTCTTTTTCTTTATTTTCAGTTTCTCTGCTCTGGTGAAGCTGATCAGTGAACTGATAGCTGGATAAACTGAAACAAAAAGATTATTCTTCACTACTGAAGAATAAATATCTGGTATCWAAGCCTTAGTTAATAACTCACTAAACTGCACTGAAGCTTGGACAAAATGGTTCCAGGAAATAGAAAGCCTTTAAAATTTCAGCATCTAAATTCCATGTTTTACRTATAAAATAATCTATTGTAATAAGTTTGAACCTCTATGAAACTTCTGTTTGCTCTATAGAAGTACATTGATAGTAGATTTTAGTTGAAATGAGTAGTAATTTCTGTCACTTGTTATCTCTTCCCAAAGGTGTGACAGAGATGGAAGATCATCCAAAAAGATTATTCCAAGGATCCACCAACATGCTAACACCTGAGGCTGCACACCAGGCAGACCTTGGGGCATGGTAAATGCTGTGCTGTTTATTGTCCCTTTCAGCAGAAGTAGTAYAARTCTTCTTTCTTCAAGCAGTGATTAYGCTTAAAGCTTTTTGTGCTTGTTTTTGTCTTTTTTTTTGAGACATATAATGTTACAGCACTGAAATTATCACAGTAAACAGGCAGCARTGTTCACAATTCTGCAGTTTCTAGGCCTGATGTATGGGAGTTGAGCATGTTTAGGAAAAGACACCTCATGGATGATAGCTTTTTGCAATCAAATGTGAATGCTGATGTTTTTTGGGTGAATTGGGTTTTGTTTTCTCTCCCTTGCTCTTAGTCACAGAGAAACATGAGTCTGTCTGWCCCTCCCTGCTGGGAGGAGATAAAAAGTACTTTGTTAAAAAATRTAATGATTGGTAATAGCAAGGGATTTTGATCTAGTGTTTTAGTCAAAAGGTTAATCATACATAGGGTGTGCCYACACAACTGTCAAGGGTTGTTCACAGTATTTCTGTCTTTTTGCCTCTCAGCTGCTGTGCAAGTCATGCACAAGCTTTGAGTAGCAATAGCAAAATGGCTGTTTTGCAGGTACTTTAAAAACATATTTTTTTGCATACGCTTTACAGTAGGCATAGAAGTGTGGGTTCAATTTCTGCATCTTTGTATAGGAGAAGGTAATTTAAAAAAAATCACTTCGTTGCTATCACTGATGATAGATCAGCTATAGTTATAGATTTGTGTCCTGTGAAATATGTAGTACAATGGAGGATGGACAATTTCTCATTGGTTCTCCTGGCAAAAAGGCCTCTGRCTGTTGTCCTGGCCCAGGGCTTTGAGGATGGAGTAAATCTGGCAGTGGATTGCTCAGCCTGGGACTTCTGATCTGTGCCCCATTTTTGGGTGAGCAAAAGAGGAAATGGGCAGGGTGTCCTRTGTGTGTCTGGAGGTTTGTAGCTGCAAGTGTATTTCAGCTCAGGGCTTGCTGCTCTCTCCTATGTTTGCATCTCCTATGATGCACCTATATTTTTGGAATGGCTTTGTGATGATTAAGGCAGATTTTGAGCACTTAGCTGAGCCAGTGCCTCGTTTCTCACACCGTGGTGTCACTCCATTTCAGTCTGTCCTCACAYGCCCTGGATGACAACAGGAGCAGTGCAGGCTCCTCCTGTGACTCCCCAGCTGAAGTTGGCACCAGCACAGACTCTCCAGTGTCACTCTCTGACTCCAGATCCCCCTTTTTACCAGTGGATCTCACRGCCAAGTTACCGATGGACTGAGAAGCAGGAATCTGCTGATGGACACCGGGAAACAGGCGGGATTTCACCCGGACTTTCTGTTGTGTGTAACCCATTCTGTTCCTCATAGGAACTTCCAGCAATGCCATTACTTCCAGAAACCTTCCAGAATGGTTCCTTGAGGAGGAATTCCCTTTCTAGTGATTTGTATGACATTAACTACAATACAGAAGCGTTTGGGCTGCAGACACGTCGGGTGCTCACACCAGTCAGCAGGCTGCTGGTTTGCAGTGGATGTGATCTCCTTGGCATGAGTTACAAATGCTGTACATGTGTCCTGCTTGTGGAAGACTTGGCTTGCCAGCAGCCAGTGTCCTCCCTGCCTGTGGAGGAGCAGATAACTCACATTTGTCTTCAGCCTAAAAAAACCAATGAAGCAGCTTACTAATTGTTTCTATTCCCAGAGTGTTAGATATTTATATATTTTTTCTTCTTCATRTGAAAGGGAGAATATTGCAGGGGGGAATTGATTATTATTATTATTGTGTTCTATTATGATTGGCTCTTAATCAATTCTGTGTTCCAGTGGATGTCAGAAAAGAACAAATGGTGAATTGTCAAATTTATATGTTGGATTTWATTCATGATCATGACTGCTCTTGTGACTAAATCTAAATTAGGTGTGGAACATTCTTCTGGGGTTTTGTATTACTTTCTTTTTCTTCCCCATTTAGATGATGTATTGGAGTGGTAGATGCTTTGTTAAAGGTCTTTTARTAGGGAAAAATAGTGACAATATTTGGAACAATACATTAAATATTGAGATTTTAGTATTTAGTACTTCAGAAACTAATTATTTTAACAGTCAGTATTTGTCCTCGTATATGACAAATACAGTGAGGAATCTTGAATGCCTTTTTACAGGCTGARGCCATCAAACATAATTAATCTGTGTTTAATTTCCTGATGTCGCTTCCTCAAACAATGACATCAAGTCATTTCTGCTGTTGGAAACTTCAGATGCCGATTGGAAGGCGAGAATCTGGTAATCTGAGATGTTTGAAAAGTCAGTGTGTTGAGGCATCCTGATCTCAACCCTGAAATTCCCCAAGCAGGAGGAAAAATTTGCAGACCCCCCCATGGACAGCTGTCTGGGATTTTGCAGTGACAGCCTCACTGGGCTTGTGCAGCTGCACTCCCCCAGCTGGGTCCCCTTTGCACATGTCTGTGCATCTGTGCTATGTGCTTTCAAACCTTCTCTCCAGAGAGGTTAATAATGAAGCAAAATGTTTTATTTTTAAACGCTAAATCTCTGTAGTGTGTCATAAAGTGAGGAAACTTCCTCAGGTAGGAGAAAAGCCTGCCCTGAACTCTGCTGTGAAAAGATTCACATGGATGAAGCTTTGACTGGCAGCAGCCATCAAAATGAGAAAGAGATGACTTGGAGGGCAAAGACCTGGTGACCTGAGGGCCAGTGACCCATTTCTGTRTGTCCTTATTGTAGAGAGAAACTAGAATGTATTTAATAGTCTCTGTTCTAGTAAAATACGACATGGTTTACTTCTGGTATCATTCCTCTTAAATTATTGTAATAATCACCCTGCTGGTTGCAGTCCCTGCCTGAGTCCAGCTGCCCTTTGTCCCCGAGCAGATGCACACGGGAGTGCCGGGCTCTGTTTGCTCTCTCTGCTGAGGCAAAGTTTGGGTTTGCAGTTTCAGGTTTGTGCCAAAGAGTTRCTGTGCGTTCACTCTTCTGTGGTGAGAGCAAGACTCTTTTTTAAAAATCTTGCTTATTTCTTAAGAATGAACCTCCTGGTGTCTCTTGCAATCTTTGTCAGAAGACACATCAGTATAGGGAGGTTTAATAGCTGAGTGTGGGTCAACTTGTCTCTTTTCTGTTGAATATTTATGCTATTTTTCAAATAAGTGCCAATAAATGGAAAAATAAATGTGTTTTGCTGTTTCTGCACTTTTTTAGATAACCATATTCTTATTTTCATCTGGGATTAAATGCTTTCTGTTAAAATCAGARTATCTGTTGCAATTTACTTCCATCCAGTCTAGTTAACATGTAAGTTGGCATTAAAATCTGCAGCAGACTTACCTTGTTTTACCTTGTGCAATGCTGTCTTGCAGGTCTGTGACAACTCTAGGAATAAAGAAGAATAAACCCAAACGTTTTTGAAATATTTTAATAGCTACACGTGTAGAGGAGGTCATGGTGAAATGGTTTGGAAGACAGAAGCTGCTCCTGGCTGATGGAAAGTACTGAGGGCCTTAGCTCTTGGGAAGAAGTTGTGGTTTGCCTTAATAGGGCAGTTAATCATAGAATTATAGAATGGGTTAGGTTGGAAGAGACCTTAAAAACCAGGGATTGTCCASAYTTGTTCTACCCCATGYCCCGTGCCTTCCAYTATCCCAGGTTGCTCCAAGCCCTGTCCARCCTGGCCATGAACACTTCAAGGAATGGGGAATCCACARCMTCTTTGGGCCAATTAATGCTGTTGGAGGAGAGTGAAATGGTGATTTATCTGCATCTGTTCCTTTCCTTGCTCTTGCAAAACAGAAATTGCTTTGAACTTGTGGAAAAGCATCTCTGCTTTATCTCCACGTCACCAAGAAGCTGGGCTTTTGCGCCCTGGAGTCAGGAGACACGTATAGGRGTTTTTTTCCCATTAAAAGAAAAAATTTTGGAACCAAATATTATGCTCCAACATGTATCTGGATGCAGGGAATCAGGATGTTATACAATGCACATAATCAACCCTGTACTTGTCTAGTAACTCATGCTTTTAATATTGCCTCCGCTTCTCTCTGGAATTCTGCCACGAACGGCACCTTCCAAAAATCACACTTGTGTTTGGCACTTGCTTGGTCTGGTTGAAAATTATCCTGCAGGATYTGTTGGCAGTTACATCGGATCCACTGTGTCTTCCTTGACAACTGATGGGTGTTTTTCTTCCACCTTCTCCAGAGTGACACAGTTGCTGAGAGAACGTCGGTAACGGTGCCAGTGCTCAGGGGGCTGTATTTTTGGAATGAGCCCTTCGGTGGTTGCTGCATTTAGCAGAGGGATAGATACTTCCCTCTGGAAGAGAGGTACAAATGCCAGGAAAAATGAGCCTGTGCCTCAGCTCGACTGACTTGCAGGATCTTCTGTGTGCTGCCAGCGAGGCGGGTGACCTGAATGCTCAGCTGAGCAGCTGCCCCAGGTCCTCCTGAGATCACTGTAAGACCTTAATCCTAAATTCTTTCTTTTCACCTATTTTCAGATAACTTGAGCGTAAATGATCACCAACCCATAGAAACGAAACAAGTCTCTAAAGTCAAAGTGAGACTGAGATATTTCCATTTATARATGCGTGCTGTGGTTCCAGCACCAGTGCTGTGTTTGTGAGTCCAGCCCTGCTATTGTGCAATGATTTGCCAGTGAAGTGACTGGAGGGACCTCTGGCACTCCATGAGCTTGAGAACAGCTTGTGCCTCTCTTAGCAGTCGTCATTTCAGAAATGTTCACTTTATGCTGTTGTATTCTTGCATATGTTGGCGTCRTAACTCATTTACTTAAAATAGAGAGCTTCAGGAGTCATAATTAAACTGTGCGAGCTCTTCCTATCCTGTTTTAAGCAACCTTTCTCATCACCAACAGGCAGATGGAGTTTAAGTTGATCCCTCTTCTCCTGGAAGCAACAAGTTAAAATATTTGTAAATGCAACTGAATGTTTACAGCTATAGTATAGTAATTAAAACGTTACTGATGCAGAGAGGAGTGATTGGCAAGAATCCTTTTCAATAACTGGGTGCAAAAATTGTCACCTCAGCTTCATTTCGTAGGGGATTGTTTTACCTGTACCAGTGGAGCCTTCCCATTTCTGCACATCTGGTGGGAGCATCCTTTCTTGATAAACTTTAGAGCAATCACCAGCCAGCCCAGGCCGTGCTCAGGAGGTGCCTTTCCTCTGGCACGGAGCACTMGGGGCAGGCAGACACCCCAAAAACRCAGACCCCACACACAYGGAGACTGCTTCCACCACTGGGGYTTTGTGGTAGATGCTCGAGAGAGGAGGCAAAAARAAAATCAACCTCTGAAGGAGAATAACCTTGTTTGACTTTCAGTAGCTGGCTCTGGAGCAGAAATTTCAGAAGGGGGGAGGAGCCGGGTGCTTTTAAACTAAAACCAAACACAGCCTCCACACGCCTTYGTGCTGGCTCCCCTGTGTCTCTCAAGGAACTGGTGAGGCATCCCCAATGCCACAAAGATGCCTCAGATAAATCTGGCATTTATCAAATTTAATTTTCTTCTGTTAGTCTGGTTTCTTATTCTTTTACTTGCTTCATAAGAGCCTTAGAAAATGCTTGCTATTTTAAGATTTCTTTCCATGACAAATAGTTGTATGCAAATGTTTCAAATTTTGCTGGACGTCAACCCAGGTAGGAAAAGCTGCTCAATAGGAAGCAGGTTTTTCTGCAGGGACTAATCCTTGGAAATGTGGTTTTCATGGTTACTTTCTGCCCTTTTGTGGAGAAAAGTCAAACCCATGATGTGCATAGCACACGTTGGGGTTTGTGGCACAGAAAACGGGTGCTGTGTTGTCTTTCAAGCCAGTTTAAATAAAGCTGGCACTGAAATCGCTGCAAGAAGCTTCCTGCTAAAAATACATCTGCATCCTTTAAGTGCATTTACTTCAGCAGTCGGTTTGGATTGTGGAGATTCCTGGCAGATTCCTGAGGGAAAAGCACTAATGGGTTTGGTGATGCTGATGGAACAYGGGTTTCCAGAACCTTGCTGCAGTTTTGTCTCTTGATGGTGGTTTCTAGTTTGTCAAAGAAAATGCTCATCTAATGCTTTGATGCTCATACCTCAGGCCACTGAGTGTCTGCAGATTTCCAGAGAAGAACACWCTCATTTTGTTACTGTAAATCATATTTTGCTATTGTAAATTTTATTGTTAATTTATTTTTTTAACTGGAAACATGGATTTAAGTTCCATTACAGGGCAGCCGTTACTCAGGTAGACTTTCTTACCAGCCCTTTTCCTCACCGTGAGGAAAACCCATTGCTTCGATCGCTGTAATCGTGGTTGTGCTCTTGCCTAAATTATTTCTTTGCATTCTCTGCTCTTTCAAAGACCAACGTGGTCGCTTTGCCTGCCTGTAATTCCACATTTTGTTGTCAGCRTGGTTATTCAGCTTTGCAGATTTTCAAGAGCTGATGTGCATTAGCTACAGCTCATTATCCAAAGCAAACAGCTTGTTAGTGTTCAGTGGAGAGCTTCTCTAGGAGACAAAATACACCCAAAAGTGAGTGTATCCCCTTAGCCGTTCTGTTTGTGAGGCTCCGAGTGTCGCCTGCCGGTGATCATTCCTTCCTTTTCCAAGGATTCATTTGTTCTCCAGGCTCCTTTCATTGAGGTCATTTTCTGTAAATGGCTCTTGCCTTTTCATAGCGATGGTTTCCCAATCCTCCCCAGCTCCTGTGGGGCAGTAACAAGTGAGTGATGGGCTTCTGGCAGCAGTGAACTTCACTCTCCCTCAGAGGTTTCAGTCTTCATTTAATTTCCTCAGGTAACACACTATACCTGCAGGAGACTCCAGCACGATTACCTTGGGCTGTTTCTCCTCCAGCTCCAGCAGGAGATGGTGCCTCCCTCCACTGCAGTGAGCAGGTGAGTGCCCTGTTCCCCAGGAAATCAGGAGGGAACCTGTTTTCCCCGCCACTCTGCCCCTCTCTCTGCACACAGCTGGCAGAAGACGATTTAAGGTTTGGGGTTTTCTTAAGGCTTCATGTACAACCAGTTTTTAAGACTTCCTGTTCCTTAAATTTGATGTTGCCCTGAGTGTAAGTCTGAAATGTGAGATTCACACTCCTGACAAAGTAAAGGGGTGATGGAACTTGGCATTTATAAGGAAAGCTGTTACAAGAAAAGCGAGGTATCTTAAATGTACATTGACAAATGAGGACTMAAATACAGTGATTTATTGCCAAACCTATTTGGCTGCCTCTTTCCAGTTTAGGCTTGTTGGTTATCAGATACTTGTATGTATGAGCATAAGATGRAATAGCATATGATTGGCTTTGACAGTAGTTAATTAGCTGATTGCAGGATTCCTGTTTCATGTTGAAGGCACAGTTCTGTGCATGGCTCCTCTTGGAGCTGTTTTAAGAGAAGCAGTGACTGTTCCCATCTGACAGCAACGCTCCGTTCTCTTCCTGCAGCACCTCTTGAGATGTGTCAGCAGCAGCTCAGCTTTTCCCTTTAGGAACAGGGACTGTTCCCTGGTGGTGGCCATGTGAGGATGCTGGACCTGCTCTCCAGGGCTCCATCATCACCCGCAGTCCCTGGAGAATGGCCTGACACCCCTAGAGCCCTGTCTGTCCCCAGAGCTCTGGAGCAGTGACACCAGTCTAGCGCAGTTTCAARCACTCTGTGATTCACTCCTCCAGAGAAACAGGATAATCTCAGGACTTTCTGATCCAGACAAGTGCAAACACCTAGAGAAGATCGTGTACCAAGCCCACAGTGACTGGGAGGGAGGCTCCCCAGAGYGATCTCGGCAGCGTTCCCACTTCCTGCTGCCAGCACGGCTCGTCTGAGATATCGGTGCCATAGCAAGYGCTGGGTAAACACCAGGATTGTTTCTGCTGGATGATCTCAAAACYCTCCCAACTGTCTGCTGAAAATACTTGCCCATTGCAAGGAAATGACTGTTTGTTTGCGTTAGGAGTCAGGAATGGGAAATGACGTGAACACTAAACTGTTTTTCCTGGTGTTTCTAAGAGGTATATTCACTGTCTCGGGTCTTAATTCCAAAGGCATTCAGTGTTTTCTGAAACTCTGGTACATTATTACTAGAGGTATGTGCATGCACATAAATATATATGAAATCAGGAAATATCCTACAAATCTTTGTATCCACCTGGYAAAATTTTACTGGTGTTCTGCTATGACTGTGCTGTAACATAATTTGATATATTCCCCCTCAGTCCTGAAATGAAACTGTCCTCGGGTCTTGTTTTCCCAACTGGGATAAATCTGTGATTCTCCARTGTGCTGCAACCTCCCTGAAGGAGAAAGAAGTCAAAATTCACACTTGTCATCCTTATTTCACCCAAGCACCAGTTTTATCTGCATTTGCTGAGTTACACTGTGCATTTAATCTTTTTTTTTTTTTTTGTATTGATCCTTGCTTGCCTTGAAAAAGAGGTGGTCCAATGTTTTTAGTCTTTTTTGTTGACAATAACTTTTTGTTCCTGATTTCTTTGGTCAACAAGGTGTTTTTCTAAACCAATCATTGCTATTCAGATTTCTTGAAAATGACTGCTGTTGTCTGTGTCCTGTGATCTTCCTTCTCTGTGCATGTGCTGTCCTGCAGGACTGAGGCAGCTGCAGGTGTCAGATCTGGCTACAGAGACTCTGAGTTCCTACAGGTGAGATTGTCACTTCTGTCYTTCTGTGACTGCCTGGCAAAATATGATCCTGGTCCATGACTGGAATGCCATTTTATAGGGAAAAAAAGTAGGTTTGTGTTGAGCTTTCTTAATCAGCTTGGGCACAATAAAATGTTTAGTCTGCTGTTGGGTGCTAAGATAAGGTACCACATGGCACTTTTATCTCCCCAACTTCTGCTCCATTCCCTCGCCTTTCCCCAGGCAGCAGCAGGTTAAAGCACCTTGTGAAAATCAGAATTCACAGTGTAGGTACTGAGGAAGAGTGAAGCTACAAGAACAGAGCCCTGCAGAAAAYACTGACCCAGCCACGAGCTCAGTGCTGGAGGGAAGGGCTGTGCCTGCTGCTGGCTCTGGCACATGGCCTTCTCAACCAGCTGGGAACCTTTTTTTGGCTTTTTTTTTTTTTGGTGAATGTTAATGTTTGACTTTATCATCTGATGCTGATAGATGACACAATCCCAGTTCTTCTGCGAGTCAAACTGAAGTAACATTATATAAGAAAATATGTAGTGGCTAACATTTTTCAACTTCTTTCTCCTTTTTTCTTTTTTTTACAGAACACTGGGTTTTGCACAATTTCTCTGTATTTCCATGCATAAGCAGAAAAGTGACCCATAAGAGGGGGGGAAGAAGGTTTGATTTCCAAATGGTTTTTTATTCATATCAGAGCATATGCTATAGACTTCTTACAAACAAAGATTTGTCTGTATGAATCCAACGCAGTAATAGCTGCCCTTTTAAAATTAACATCTCAACAATGAAATGTCAAATGTAAGGGGAATACTTGCTGTATGAAACAAGATTAATGTTCACCTCAAATATGAAACTGCTATTTGAGCATGAGTTTGTGATAGAAAAGAAGTGGGGGAGGGATGTAGAGAAATGCTTTTGCTATTACACTTAGTTTGGTCTCTAAAATAGAAGAAATGGTGAATTTTGTATTAGTATGAGGTCAGCTTCTGTTAATGCCACTTCCAAGCATCCCTAAGAAATGAAGGGATCTGATTACAGAACTTGTTTTTATTGTCTATAATTGTGGTACAAAATGGCCGTTSCAAGAAATTATTTCCCAGGTAAGAAAACGAGCACTCAACGATACATTGGTAATGATAAAGTAAGAAATTTGAGAATTGCTTCTTCACCTAAAATTCATGGTTTATTTCATAGTTTCACTGATGGAATTTTTCATTTTCTTCAATGATCAGTCCCGACTCTCASCCCTCTGGTATGTATATACAGAAGTGTTATGTGCCAGCCTCGGCAGGTACAACCACAAACCAAATGAGCGTTTTTACAGAAGACAGTTTGCTTTTATAGTGATCACGCACTGATGTGAACATAGACTAAAAATAACAAATGTTGCTTTAATAAGGATTTTTTACAGTAGGCATAGATATAAAAGTTTTTTCAAATTATTTTCACAGGTATCACTGAACATTTCATAGCTGTCTGTTACAGAAGCACCGCAAAGTGCTTTGAGTCTTTCATTTATTATACACAGTTAAAATATATTACACTTCTGAAGGTATCTTAAATCACTGAACAGTTTTGCTAGCATCTTAACGAGCCAAATGGGAGTAAAAGGCAGTCCACATTCATGATGTGAATATACAGTAAGGTGTTTGACATCCTATGAACTCATTGCTCATGTTCTCAAAATAACCATGGTGATGAGACCTGAAAGACAAGAATTAAGAACTAAGCACTTCAATTTCATTGAATAAAGCATTTAAAATACAGTTTACCCGTCACAGGCCAGAAAATATGGCAAAAGTGCATAAATACATGCAGAATGCATTTAAATATTAGAGGKATATAAAAGAATATTATTAAATATTAGAAGTATTGCTCCAAATTTTGATATAGTCAAAAATCAATACTGAAGTGTGGCGCATCTAATAACTGAATGTCAAAGAAGATATAAATACTCCAAACAATTACTGATCTCTCTACTGGAAAATCCTTTTCCACTGAGCTTTTSACTTGGGTAAGTGTAACACTAGCACCCAAACCCCATTTTTCATGGGGACCAGTTATGGACAGTGTCATTTGAATATTGAATCATCTGTGAGGCTGATTAGTTGAACGCTCCAAGGCTTTTTTTTTCTGCTCTGTGCATAATAACTGATCAAAGACCAGTTTTAGACAAAGATGTTAAGCTTCCTTGTCAGTCTGCAGAGGGAGCTTTCAACAGACTCTTTGTTGTGACCTTTAAAGAGGGAGGAAAAAAAGAACTGCTCTGACAGAGGTTAAAAACAATTAAAAGCAGATGAAAACAGGAAATAGGGGCTAATAAACCTGCTCATGACACACTGAAAAGTTCATTTTAATTATGTGCTGATACAGGAAAAAGTACAGATCTGCAGTTCTTAGCCAAGGGTTATACTGCACAAGGTAAGGGAGGTAGATGGAAGAACATAAGGGCTTCCTGAATTCCAGCCTTATGTAAGATCAAAATAACTATTTATCAATTCTTGAGCAATCTCRCTGTCTTGCAGGCTCAGATGATGTCACCGTAACAGCCTTTCACTGCAGAGAGCTCAGCTAAAGCCTACAGATCTCACCATGGATAAAGACATTTCTGAGAGTATTTTATCCCCTGCCACTCCATACTGAAGGAACTTGGCTACTTTATGAAGATGGTGAAGGCAGAAGCACRACAGAACAGAGCTGCAACACTGCCTTCCATTAGATCAGCAGTTTGTCCCTTAAGGAGGGGCTACAGCTCAGCTTTATTAAGGTCTGTATTGGTTCAGACAAGCAGTGCTCCCACAGCTGCTGGATCCTTAGCTTGGATCAACTCCACCATCTCAGAGAACAGCAGAGGCTTCTGCAGAACAGCCTGTACCACTTGTGCAAGGACATCCAGACAATAAAGAGTTTAATCCATTTCTGTATATCAAACACTTCTCAAATGTCATATAGTCCTGTYGGTGTGGTATAATAACCCTCTCCAATTAAATGTTCCACCAGTTGTACTTCCTTGTRGAAGAAAGTGGTTTCATCTTCTCAAGAGCAATTGACTTTCTACACGAGCAACAGTAGCACACAAAAGAATCTGCCCATGAGCACTAAAAGTGCTGCCAGCAAAGAAGTCAAAACCTGTCAAAACTTCATAGAGAATSTAGAGACAGATTCAGTTGTTGCAAATGTATAAAGTCAAAGGGCTTAAAACTGTAGCTGGCAYCAGCATAACCTGGAGTAATTTCCAAAAGCAGAGATAAAAACAAAGTGAGGATTACTGCAAGGTTCTGATCTGAGAATCCATCAGCAACAGCTTGGGCAAAGAGCCACAAGTGAGGTTTTAAACCACTTGAGCAGATGGACCTTTGTGAGTCAKCAGAGTGTGCACGAACCATCAAGAACTTGCACCTTTCCCCATCACTACCTCACCTCTAGCTATCAGTTTGAAGCTGCCTAGCTCTTTTCCTTTAAATCCTCATTTCTGCCAGATAGTGGGACAGGAGAATTGAGTTTAGTGTGACTGTTCTTCAAATCTGAAATAGTTACAGAGAAATAGTCATAACAAACGAAATGTGCAACTCATCTATGCTGGCTAATGCAGGAGCAAGTTACAAATCAGGAAAAACTGAGGATGGCAGTGGTCTCAGACACTGTTTACAACAACATATTGACACACATTTCAACTGCTTATCAAACAGGTACTGAGAAGGAAGCCTTAAAAAAGCTCATGGGGGCTGGAGGGAGAAACAGAGTAACACATTCTACATTCTGCAATAGAGTAACTACTGCAATGCAAGAGTAAGAAACAGCACATTCCATTYAGGTTTGTTGGCAGACGACTGTGGCTGGCCCATCATCAAATAAAGCTGAAATTAGCATGTAGGAGCCTGTGTGCAATAGGTACCAGCTCAAATCGGGCCTAAAACACTTACAAYAACTAATTTACTCTGCTATCAYCATGGCTGCAAATTAAGATCTAAGYTGAAATGCAAAATGTAATGCTTTGTCTCCATMCAATTTCCTGAAGCCACTGGCAAAGATGGGCAAAGGTTTCCAAACTCACAGATGTCACAGGAAAATGTTTATAAAATCCACAGTACTTACCTAAAACATAAGCAGCTACTAACTTTTGATTCACACTTAAGTGGAGGTAGAGAGGCACCAGGGATTCCATTTCCCCCAATGTAGGTAGCATTAGTGCTGCAACACACACTACTCCAAGGAAGACTGTGAGTAAACTAGGTCCCGACGAGGCAGTTCTGTTTTCTGAAAAAGCAAGAAAGCACCAATCACAAGGAAGATCTAACTAATATAATCATTACATATTCTGCATATTCTGCAAAAATGTCTGCAGTACATGGGAGCTGAAATATTCTCAGATTTTCCTTTTTGCTCTGGAATTTGGAGGGGGTGGAAGACACTTAAAGCCACCCTTCTAAACCTTCTGCATTCTGCAGTGGAGGAGGCTGCTCCCTGTTCTGATGCTGGAACTTGTTTTCACATGACTTCCCAAACCCCTCCCTTCTGGAGGAACAGAGCCTGCCAGGCCCAGTTGCTATATATACACACTCAGGACAGCTGGATGTCTCAGCAATGCTTGAGGTTTCCCTGTGCATCCTGATTCTATTCCTTGATATGTTCCTTCATTGATCAGTAATCAGTTAGGAGCACCCAAAAGAGTTGAACAGGGAGGTAAACTGCTCACACCTCCTGAACAAAACCTGCCTGCACAGATTCTTAGGCCAGAYGAATTCCCCTGCATTTATACAATTCAAGGGCTACACTTGCTAAAGTCAGTTTAGATGCCACAAACCAGTAAAATTTGAATCTTACTTTAAAAATTGTGACAGTGAACCACTCTGACAGCACAGTATTACCAGAATAAGAAAATGTAAGCCACAAACAATAAAGAGTCCTTCATAGTTTTTACKGCYYTGCACTTCAACAGCTGGAACCTACTCAAAGACCCACTGTGTCATTTTTGAAAAGAGCTGTTAACATGTTAGCTGAATACCTCTTACCAAATCTTTAACACCCATTGGAAAATAGCCAATGTTTTTATCAACTTCTCCTATCCTCAGTGACTAGCAACGTGTGCTTTATTTTAATTCCATAAATCTCTTGTTTCCAGGTTGCAGGTTACATGCAAAGACTGCAGTTACTTTTCTGTAAGTTAGCTTTACAATGTAGTCAACAAGGTTTTAAGCAGAGAAATAGTGTTTGGATTAAGACCAGTATCCGATTGTTCAGGATGGCTCAAACTCTCCATCCTGGAACAACTATCACAGGAACATTTTGTTCTGTGAGCCCAGAGATYTCTGTAGGTTTGCTTTAATTGCATATCCTACTAATATCTATTATGAGGGGKTTTTTTTTAGTAAAAAGTGTTTCACCAGCCAAGAAATTCAGGGTAAATAGTGAAACAGTGTTTATTTTAACAACATGAACAAGGTTCATGAGCAAGGTTCATCTATTTTCTGGAATTGGTTTTTGTTGATATCCTGAAAAATGCAACAGTGACAAGAACATTTCAGTATAAATCAGTAAAAGTAACAAGAATGTAGACCATCAATAATCAGTTTAGATTCAATTCAGGTACAACGTGACACTTTTTATCCTACAACTTCAATTTAACTGTCTGGCCCAGGTTTTCAAGACTGTTGATTCACTTCCCCATGTATGAAACACRGAGTTTTCAGCCACCAACTGTGCTCTTCTGTTCTTGTGGAACAGACAAAGGACAGGGCGCAGAACAAGGAGCACTTTAGAAGATGTTTTGGCAATAWTTCCTGCTCATCAGGAAATGGGGGATTAAAGGTTTGGAACAAACTCAGAGGGGGCATAYGTTCTGAAAGAGCCCAAGGGAAAAAGCAACTACCATCCTCTCACAGATAAACTCCCATTGCCTGTACCAGAACCCCTGCTCCAGAGGAACAGTGGATGCACTCTCCAAGGTATGACAACACAGGGCTGCAAAGGGTTTTGGTCTCATTGATCAAGACAGCATAAACAGAAGAGCCACAGTTTTTGGGTTCTTGTGCGCTGTCATCCTCAAGTGACAAAAACAGCAGTCTTACAGGTAAATAAAAAATAATTATTTTAAAATTTACTTCAGTTTATATTTAAAAAATATTTTAAGTCTAGTCTTTCTAGTCACTTGAGCTATTCAAAACTGATGAAGAACACAGGAAGGGTAAAAGATTTCAACTACCTGGTTGACACAAAGTCTGCTCAAAAAAGACACTTTCAGCCAGGTGTTCTTTTATTCGTTTTTCCTCCTCTTCCTTTTGTTGTTGTTGTTCCTTTGCAGATGGAAGCAGAGTAGCAATAATCTCCTTTTTCCCTAATGCTTTCCTCTGGCTCTGCTCAGACACTTGAAGACGGAATTTATCTATGACACCATAGTAAGAAGCCCGAACGTCTCTGTGACGAATCACACTGCAGAGAAAAAACAGCATTTTCAAGCAGATGAACTATTAAGAARCATGTCTGTTGTGGAATTACATCCTATATCACAAAGTCCGCCCTCTGTTCCCCACTTCAGATAACCTGGAATAATCCAGACCTCCATTACCTCCTCCATCACTCAGTGYTCTTGAAGACTTGATTTTACYTCCTCTCTCTCCTCCTTATATTTGTTTTAATTCCCAAATATAAATGCTCCTGGCTAAACAGGACTGTTAAGTYTTTACCTCACGCACTCATCTTTGTCTCAGTCTGAAGCCCAGTTACCAATTGATGAAACATCAGTTATCTGAAAGATCCCTCCTCCTGAATCAAAGCTGTTTGATGCTGGCCCATGTTTTATAAGCTATGAGATGACTGGAGTGGACAGGGAAGGAGAGGAGTTGGACAAGCAAGTTTGGCAAGCAAATGTCCAGCTCCTTGAGGAAACCAGGCTCAATGCTTCACAATTCTTCTTTCTCAGAAGCAAAACTCATTCCCTCTGTAGACAAGAGTCAGCTATGGATTTTCAAAATCAGAAACCCACCACTGAGAGCATGTTTGGAACCTATAAAAAGCACAGCTTTAAAATAGCACTGATCAACAGCAAAACAGACCTCTGAGCAGTGCTGTGCTCAACTGCCTCCTCTCTGCACTCATGATTCATCATGAGAATACATATCTAGCATTGAAAAGCTACAATGTTTAGGTTTTGAAGTGGTTAGGGTAAATGAGGATTTCAATTTTTTTCCCAATATTTTTTTGTGAAAGGTTATTCTAAGTTTTAAAGATAACAGCAGTTAATCCGAAAAACCTATGTACAAATAAGAAGGTTGCCATGTCATGAGGGGAAAAAAATGACTGCACCCTTAGTAACACAGGACAGTAGTCTTAAAATTGTTTCAAGAAAAYGATCTTTGTGATAATACATACATTAAAATGCTGCAAGAAAATGGATTTTTGTTTTTCAGTCTTCATTTAAAGGAACTATATCACATCAAGATATTTACAAGCATTAGCAYGTAGCCAGTGCTTGCAACTGGTATCTAGTCTGAATAGACTATTCAACACAGAAACAGAGACCAAGTCATCCCCTCAGCAAGAGGGCTGCAGGGATGTTTTACGTCACTTCAGAGGCAAAGGAGTGTGCCTATGACAGGCTTTCAGCAAGTGGAGTGTTGGCTGGGTAACTGCCTTCACTAAAACAAAAGACTTTTCCCCCCATAACCCTAATTCATTATAGCTCTCAGCATATCAGCACAGCAAATCAACTCTGATTTCTTCCTTTCACACTTCCTTTTAAATTAGTGTTTCTACTCCCAGCACCATGGTACTAACTAYCAACCTAAACAGAATCTTTACATAATGCTGTGCTAGGAGAACATAAATCTGCTGCCAGGCAAAGAGATATTTTCTGCAGACCCTTATAAACAGAYACATTCTCCTGTTTCTTTTTAGAGATCATTGCATAATTGGAAGCTCTGTAGAATATCTGTTTATCTGGCAAATGGCCACACTTGCATAGTACTGCTCATATTCTTGCAGTAAACACTGTCCTTAGACAGCAACCACCAGAATGGGATGGGGGTTTTGCTGCACAAAAAAAAATCCCCTTGGAACATGTATATGTCTTATTTTCTTTTATTTAATAAAAACCATTTGTTTAACCAAATGTAATCAAGCTTGTGTAAMTGTCTGCTAAAGACTGGAATAGCTCACTGATACACTGGTATATTCTGACCTGTTTTGTTCCATTTTTAACATGGTTGCCTCTGCTCACTAAAACTTTCAAGTTCCATGTTTTAAACTTTTTTTTTCTATTTGGTGAGTCACTGGATTTTTCTAATTGCACCTATGGAAAACAGTCYACAGGAAAGAGCCCATTCCCCAAGTTATAATTTATCTGACAGATCATTCAGTAGTGGAGGTTTCTGTACATGGCCATTTGTTAGCCAAGGATTCCARAAGGTGTTTTACAGCTTGAAAAGTTTCTATTCAAAAAGCTCAGTCTGCTCTTTTAGGTACTTCAGACTTTCTTCAGCTGTATCTGTKCATCAGCACAGAAATAATGTGGCAAATGGAAGATAAAAAGAGTTGGTCTGTTTTAGCTTATACACCTACTCTGCTTCGATTTTCAGCAGCCTACAGACTCTGTACATTMCTGTGGTCACCTAAACAGCCTCCTGTTCTGAGCTACAGGGTTGAGACCTGACAGAACAAACAAGTAAAGGGAAAACACAGAGATCTGAGAATGAGAGGGTTGGTCAGGGTGAAGGGTGGGCAAAAGTACCTTTATTAAACATGGCCCAGGAAAATGTGCTCAGTAGAACTGCTTACATTCCTATTTGCCAATCTGCAAACAAGTATTTCTCACAAAGAAATCCCAGCCCTGCGGGTTTTGCTTTATGGTTATTTCTTACAAAAAGGTACTCAGAGGAGGCTCATAGTACTCTCACTCCTGGTTTACAAACTACATTACAAGATGCATTTACTGGCATTTTATTCATGCCCAAAGAGAAAATTAAAGAGGGACAGATCTCCAGTATTGTAATATCTCTGCCCCAGAGGGKAAGAACAGCAAAAACCAGAGCCACAAGTATACAGGAGATTAGGAAAATATATCTTTATCCAACTTATATTTTATAACATGCATACTGTCATTTACAACTTCTTAATAATAATAGTAAATGAGATAATAGAATGTTGTATATTAGGCAAAAAACCCAACCAAATTTTACTTACATATCAACACAGCACTGAGGCTTCACTGCACCAGTAGCATCAACCACCGCATATTTATTTGGAGTCGTACAAAGAACTGCAATGGAAAGGACAGGAGTGGTAACAAATCAGGAATTAACACATCACCAACTTCATCAACAGATACATGCAGAGACATGAGTTTTGGTTTTGTCACAGATATGATTTGTTACATGAATTATAATTGGACTGTTCAAGATCACCAACTAACCCTTAAATAGAACTTAACCTAAGAAACCCACCTTTGAATTTTAAGGCAAACTCATAGGGGTTATATAGAGTCAACACCTGCTTGTGTGTTGACTGGTCATCTGCATAAAATATAAGTTCTGTAGGAAAAACAAAAACAGGAAGATTTCCTTCCACTAACTCTGGCTGTCTTTTTTGTTGCTGCATTGGCACTGAATCCTCCTTGCTGCTTCTTGTGTTCTTATGATTTTGTATCCTCAGAGACTTCAGTTTTTGAATCGTTTAAGAATTCCAAAGCATTTTGGCAATTCTAAAGGAAAAAATAGGAAAAAAAAGAGAAAAGGCAAGAAGATTATTTCCATAAGTCTAYACTAAACTGAAGCAGTTAACAAAGGTGTAAAAACATAAAACATGAAGATTGATTATGAATCTACCTCTACTTATGTTTCTTCAAAAACACTGAAATAGAACAAATAGTTGCATTGGGTTTTCAGCTCCTTAACAAACTGCTCTAAAAGAAATGGCTAAGCACCTCTCCAATGTATCATGGCAGCATTCAGGGGCCCAGTCCATGACCAGGGATGCTTATGCTGGGTCTTTGCAACACAAACCAAACAAAAAGAAATCCCATCCTTGCCTCAGGACACTAACACCTGAGAAATTCAGGGAAGAAATGAGGAAATGCAATGACACTGAGGCAGCAGGAGTCACTGTTTAGGCAGGAAGCCTTCCATAGGTATGACCTCCCCGGATGAGGTATCACAAGTTAGGAATCTCCTCACCTAGACACTCAGGTATGTCAAATCCCAGGGATTCAGAACAAAGGAATGGGGAACATCTTCATGTCTTTAGTTTAAACTAAACTCCTGTTCCAACTGCGTGGTAGTTACAGGCAATGAATGGAAAAATGATTGGGATGAGTAACAGCCAAATAGATTTGGGATTTACTATTTTATTAAGAGATGACAGATTTTCTACCACCACTGCCTCTATCCAAAGTATGGTCATRGCAATTCACCCTCTGCCACCCCCCACAGCTCTGTTTTATTTTGAGTGACATTCCAGAACTAAAACCATAACCCATGACCCAACCAAGAAACAATCCCAAATGTAATTCATAAAATAAAATTAAGGCCAGACTCCTCAGCACACATACCACTGACTTTACACATGACAGAGAGAACAAAGTCTTCTCCTCCCCCCCAAGAACGTCATATTTTACTGCAGCCTCTGTAGGTTAATTATCAAACTGAAAGCGTCCTTTGAGGTTTAACTTTATAGTAAAAAATATTAAAAGAACAAAAAGTTCCTAYTGACTCATTAGATGTCATTTCCACTTCCAATAAAGCTTTATAAAGAAGGTACATTTCCCCGGTTCTCCAGCCGAAAACACTGGTTTAGTTGCACTYTAAAGAATTTAGTTTCTGAACTTTCTAGCAGCAAATAGCCCAAACATTGCAAACAATCAAAAACAAATGCTTGTTTCTGCATTCTAAACATCATGATGATCACATTTCCAAGCACCAGATACGTGTTCCATACTTGAAACATGACACACGTTCATGTGTTTACTAAAGTGCATCTGTCATACCATCAGATTTACAGGTTCTGATTCTTATTCACAAATTAAGCTAYTGAATTTATTTATTTATTAAAATAGCAAATTATCCCTGTAGAATTTAAATTCACAGATCTCACTGGAATGTCTTTCCTCATGATCCAGTTTCTTTTCAGAGCACAGGTTTGTTTCCACTTCACTGAAATGCTACTAATAATATTCTGAAAACAAATCCCCAATGATAGTGTTCCAAGCTGATGTTCTGTTACCTTATTAAGAAGAGTCTAGAAAAAGAAATGGCTCTGTAAGTGGCAATTTGGGTTCTGAGTGCTTCTTGGAATTTTGGTGAATCCCTTTTGTTTTAGAACAATCAACAATCTGTGGAGTGACTTTGTACAGCAAGTGTATGTATTATTTCTTGAACAACTTCTCTTGCAAAGTGAGGTTCATTGCTCCATTCAAACATATTAAAACTATATGAAAAGCTAATGTGGAAAACTACCAGCTCATAGGAATAAAAAAAAAAACTTCTTTTGATGCTCGTCATAGGCAGAAGATTAAGAATTATTTATTTACTTTTTCTTTTTGCCAAAGTTAGCTCAATGCAGTATGMGGTAAGAATATATTGGAACTTTTGGTTCTCATACCTCTCTACACTGTGTACATCATGTGTAACAGAAATATAGGCAACCTTAGATATTAACAGAAGGAATTTTTTCCAAATAAATGTTTTAAGTTACTGCAAAACCAACAGCAAACTATGCTACACATCTTAAGTGACTATATATAATAAAATCTTCAAGTATTATTTATAATAATCAGTCTTATTTGGTTGTTTTACTTTCTTATTTAAACACTGCACATGTTTCATTCCAATTCCTGGCTTCATATCACATCTCCAGTTTCTTCTGCTCAACCTGTGGCAAGTGTTCAGTGTCCAAAACCTCACAGTTCTCAGTATCAGTGGAGGTACAGATCACTAAGCCTATTAACAGACCCATTTTCCTTACACATCTGTGGAAAACAGTGCTCAAACCTCCCAGGATTCCACAGCCTGCATGCCACCAATGGTGGAAAGCCACCAATCTTAAAAAAGTATATCCCATTATTGCTTCCTTTTCCTATTGAACTTGGCTGGATAAGGAGCTACCGCCCAAACTGGCAAAAGTARCGTCTGGCAAACCCAGGACTATAGTAGACATGTTTGCTGACACAGCAGTGTCATTCAGAATATACATTTTTGGATTCCTAAGCAAGCAACCAGCATCCTTTATGAGACAAGATTTTTAGCTTAGAAGTCACCTTGCTGGGACATCTCATCAAGTGACAGCAGTAAAAGCACTTTTCCCAAAGACTGATTGATAAACCACACATTATGGTGGGGAGATGTGACAATTTAGTACCAACAGTCTTCACAACAGCACAGCTTTTACATCAACGAYAAACTGCCAACACTTTTGCAGAGAAAGTTTGTATCAACACAACTTCCCTGYCTAGATTAACCCTGCAGCAGCTCTCACGGTGAGAATAAGGTCATGCACCCCAGATAGTTCATGAACAGMAACTCAGCCACTCTTCTGCACCTCCACAGCACCACAACCGCTAAATTTTGTGCTCACCACTCACCACGATTACTTGCAGCACAYAAAGGTAAGCACAAGCAAACGTGTCCCAACTCACGATCTGTGGTCTCGGGTCTGTGATTTGCACTGCACAGATGGGCTTCTCCCAGCACTGAAATTCCCACAGGAGCAGGGATCTGTCAGAGATAACACTCACCAGGGCCAGCGTGTAACACCTGAACAATACCAGCTCACTTCCCAGTGCCCTTTGAAGTCCTGACAAACAATTGTCACTGATATCTTTTCAGCACAATAGGATCTTTCCTCCCTGAAGTTACTAAATATATACTGCTGGTGTCACAATAGCACAGAACTGCCAGTGTTTCCTTTGAAATCCCTTTCTTCATAAATTAAACTTGACAGAGAAAAACAYGAAGTGAAACGCAACTTCTCTCCAGGGTCATAAATAACATCAATTGTGATTTGTTTTTACTTAACAAGTATCTGCTGAATAAATAAATCAAGGAACTTTTTTGTTCCCATTTTAACTTCCAACAGCCTCATCACCATGGCTTCCCAGTGCATTTGTTGGTTGTTTTTCTTCATAACAACTGCAAACAATTCTACAGAATGTCACTGGGAAAATACTTCATTCAGAAGAAAACCTCTTTACAGTCAAGTCTCCACACTGCTGTTTTAAAAGCTGCCTAATTACAATGTAATCTACTTTTATTACATCTCATGATCTACCCTCTAACACTACACAAGCCTTTCTATACTATATACTCAGTAAAGCTGATGCCTTTTGAGCACATATTTACAACATAAACCACAAAGTCTTCTTCAAMAGCCCCTCCTGTGTCAAGCTGAGCAATCACTTTAAGCTACATGCAAATTCAACACGGGATCTGAAGCACTCCATAAACATTTTGTTTCTTCAAAATGTTTTGAAGGCCTCAACGTGCACTTACGCAAACCAATGTTTAAACTACCTGCAATTATTTGGGAGAGTCACCCAACGATGAGAGCACAGACCCAGCAGCCAGGATGGCTGGATTCCATTATTACTAACTCTGTCACTGACACTCCATGACCTTGAGCAAGTTGGTTAACCTCACCTCAATTTGCTGATCTATGAAGGCACATATTCTGCAAAGTACTTCAGTAGGCGGATGGTTCCCTTTGAACTGGCAGAACTGCTCTGATACTTTGCAAAACTGCTACTGTTTACCCCTTCACAGGAGGATGAGAAATGYCATCACTAACTGTCTCCAGGATGCTGTAAAATGAAATAGTCTCGGAGCATTAACTATTAGCATTGGTGACAACACGCATAAATCATGCTGATACTGACAGCAAAATTTATTAGGACCACATAATGTTTTTAAATGCTGAAAAGGTGACTAACAGAAGGAAATATTCAAATGCAACTAASAGGCATGTAAAGCCGTGAAAAATTAGGTAACAGCTGTGCATTGCTTCTGATCCATTCTGCTACAGGCTCACAAGAATCCTAGGGAAGACATTCAAGGGCACATCTGTTTAGTCTCTATTTTCTCACTTTCAGTTKTGTTTAATGCACTAAACTGTCTGTTTTTTAAACGTGTATTATGCTCATTAGCTCTACGCGGCCCCAACCCACCTCAGATTACAGAGGSGAGCACCCTTCCCTGGGAGAGCGACGGGAGGAAAGGCGTTCCGAGCYGTGCCTACTGCCGGCAGGGCACGGCGGTAATTGCACACTCTTAATTGATCCTCTTTGTTCTCCAGCGAGGAGCGGCAGCGATACGGGCTGAGGCAGCTGCGCGATAACGGCGCCTCCCGCAGCCGGCCCGGCACCCCGCACCGCCCCCGGCCCCGCTCCGCCGCCCCTCGCAGCGACCCCCGGCCCCGCAGCGGCCCCACACCGCCCGCAGCGAGCCCCGGCCCCGCGGGGAAGCGGCGCCAGGCCGGGGCCTCGGAGCGCGGCCGCCGCCCCGCTCCCCATCCCGGCCCGGGGAGAGCAGGCGAGGGAGGCCCGGCCCGTGACGGGACAGGACAGGCCAAGCCGGGCCGCGGGTGCCGCTCCGCTCGCCCGCCCCATGCCGTGCCCGCTGCCGCCCCCCGGCCCGACTCACCCGCCCGGGGCCGCTGGTGCGGGCTGGCGCGGCGCCCCTTTGTCCGCCCGTCACTGCGGGCAGCGCTGGGGCTGCCGGGACCGACCGGCCGCCGCTGCCGCCGCGTCACCGCCCCGCCCGCCGCCCGCCCCCGCCGCCATGTCGGGGCTGACCCGGCACACCGAGCTCCGGGAATACCGGCCCCGCTCCGCACCGCTCCACACCACACCGCACCGCCCCGGCCCCGCTCCGGCCCCGCTCCACTCCGCACCGCACCGCACCGCACCGCTCGGCGCTGCTTCCCCGCCCGGGCTCCCCGGGCAGCGGGGCTTGTGCGGCCGGCCCGGCGCCCCTCACCTCGGGGAGGTGTTATTTTTTAATAACACCTCACCTCATCTCACGGTTCCCGAGGTCTGAGCCCGTCCCGGAGGGGTTCGTGCTCTTCTCCCGGCTCCCGCTGTGTCCCGGAGCAGCTCGGGCTCACCCCGCTGCCGCCCATCGCTGGCAGGGTCGGCGAGTGTCAGCCCTGGGCTGAATCAGAATTAAAGAATTAGCGAGCCGAGCATACAGGCGTGACCGTCCGAWCATCAACAGCACGGCTTAAACGGGACACACTGTCCCTGTAAACACTTCCTTGCTCTTACCTTTGTTCTCCATTCCTCTTACTTACTTAATGTGTTTTCATTCAATTAGATTATTTATGGACTTCAGCTCATATTATGCATTATCCACTAGGAAAATTATCCATTTTCCCTTGGTTTTCCTCCCAAATTTCCCTCTGTATAATACAAACAAACCTATATGTAATCACCACCCAGTATCAGCCCAAACTTTTAAGATCTTCAATGCAGCAAAATGTTTTTGTTGCCAGGCGGGCGGATAATTAAGATTTATATTGAGCCACCCAGTATAGGATTGCAAAATCTTTTGCCCATTACCAAGCCTTACCTCTCAGTGAAATGAATACAGATCACATAATGAATTAACACAGCAGCCACACGTGTTTCACAACATCATCATGAAACAAACCTGGATAGGAAGTAACATACTTTGTTTATGTAAAATAATGGAAAACATTAAATAAAGAAATTCTTAAAAGTGTATTTTCTAACTTAGGCAAGATGTATGCATTAGTACTCATCTTTTCTGCAGATCTAATGCTTCATTAAGAAGCTCAGTCCTASAGCYACAAATTACAYAATATTGTTAAATTATTATATATAGAAATTACAATCTTGTCAGCATGTCTGAAAATGTATGCAGTGAAAACTGGCAAAATACTTAGTTTCTTGATAAGTGTCAATCAGTTCAGAYTCTAACACGTTTAAAAATAAAGTGGAATTTTTGTTTTTAGACAGACTATTAGACTTCAGCCTTTCAGMGTACATTCAGAAAATTATTATGTTTTTACTGAGTATTAATCCAATGGAGGGTGTTTCTCRTTTTGGAAACCTGTTTCAGGAGAAGCAGCAGACATAAACATGCCTCAGAGATATTCAAATTAATAACAAACAGAATGATCAAATAAAAGCATAATCTAAAATGGCTAGACTTAAAAGCACATTAATTAGACAAATTGGTATTTTCCCATTCATCCAGCTCATTTACAAAGAAAGGTCAGACTCTCTAAAAAGCAGATCTTATGTCTCCCTCTCTAAGTTTCCCAGGATACAACTTTTTTCTGTCACACCTTTAATAAGGTTTGCATCMACCTTTGGAAAATCAGGAATCGTGCTGGTCTTCCTCCTCTCCTGCCCATCGATCACTGTGGCTTGTGTCCAGATTGTTTTGTGATTTTTAAAAGCCCTGTGTTAACTCCATAAATGTGAAACTAACTGCGATTATCTCAAATCTGTGGGAAGTTCTCTCCTTTATCATTAGGTCATTGTTTMTTTTTCTTTCTCCTTTTTGGGCAGYTTTATTCTGCCCGAATAATTAATTATTTCTGGGTCCAGAGACAGACTGAGGTTTCATTCCTTATTATGATGCTGGTAGAGCAGGGAAACGATGRGAGGAGAAAATGTGGATGAAGATGACCACAGAAATACAAATACAGAGACATAAGATGCAGCAAAGAATCTGCAACAAGTTTGTCAGGTCATTTTAAGAGTGATCCAAGGTGTAAAAAAATGCTATTCCTGCAGTTTATATTTGGTCCTCTGATTTTTTACCTACCTTACAAACCTCTGTGAGTTATCTAAATGCATTGGTCAGTCTTCTGTTACATAAAATATTGCCTCCATRCAGCATGAAACCTGAGAGTAGAGTGTGCAGAGATGAAATGCTCCTGCATGACTCTGTGGTGGTTTTGGTTGCTGTGGTGATTATCCATCTGTTTAAATACTTCATATGGGAGATTCACAACTCATTTATCATGGAGAAAATTTTCTTAAATTGTAAGGAACACAGCATTATGCCTGATTCCTGTAATTTTGCRCATTTGATTAGCAAAATGTTACACTTTATCTGCCATGGCAAAAGAACATGGTGCAGCATTTAGAAAGAGAGGGTACCACAGTTGGATTCTGTATTCACCACTAGCCCAGTGGGCCTGGAACATTGGCCCRTGTGCAGTCACAGACACTGACTGCAAACACTTCATGAGGGACCTCCTCTAACGAATCCTCAGTCTGAAGAAGTCACACGGATTAAATTGTGTGTTTACAAATTCTGATAGGAAAAGAACAAGTAGATAGGAGAAAGCTAAACATTTTATGTATCTGAATATTACCAATAGCTCGTACTGCATTTAATTCTTACTCATGAATATTCTTAATGTGATGTTTTGTTTTTCTTGACAGTTCCCTTCTCCATGGCACAACATGGCAGATCCTCTTTGGCTTTGAAGTAACTCAGAAAAGGGAGTGACATATCTGCCTTTCATTTGCATTCATGTTTTCTTTCTGTAGAAACTCATTTGAGTTTTCTTTCTAATTTATACCATTTATTAAAAAGTCTCCATAACAGATTTTTTTTTTTGCTTTAAAAGACAAGCAGAAGAAACAACACTGTATTTAAACTACCACCTTAAAGCAGCATRCAACAGAAGGAAGAATTGCTCAACTTAAGCTGTCCAAGCCGTTTTTGTAACTTTAGTTCACCAACTAAAGTGTTTTGTTTTTTTTAAACTTGCTTATGTGGCAGGTTTTCAAATTTCCCCCCTCCAGTGGCAGCAAGCTGTATTCCCATTCTCTGTCACTGGGGACTTGGACGCATTCGTGTGTATTTTTCGTGTCAGAGGTTAGACTGTTTGTTTTTATGACTAATGATGTGGACCTTGGGAGCCACATATCTAAGCACCGTTGAGGAAATATCTAGACTTCTGTTAAAGTGTAATCCCTTTCAGGGCATGCCTACACAGGAGAGTTAAAGACAACTCGAAGCTCTCTCTGCCCATGCTCCCCACTGGCTGGAGCCAAGCCAGTTCCATCTTAGGAATCTTTTAGCTCAGTTCTCTGCCTGTGCTGCTGGGTCTCTGAGATGTGCCTATGGMCACAGTGAGCACAGCATGCCAGGGAATCACATTTGCTGCAGAACAGATAAAATTATTTGAGGAAAATATATTCTAAAGTGTCCCTGGTTTTAAAATAGTAAATGTAAACAAGGGCAGGTTTCATGCATGCTCAGTGAATAAGGCTAAGTGTGAGATCTAAAGGGTCAAGTCCCTGTCAGGTCTCATACTGAGTGAATTTTGCCCAAAATGTGTTACAGTTCAGACAGGCATCAGGGTTCACTTCCTTGTACTTGGTGTCTTACGGTTCTTCGTGTGGGAGCTCATGACATGCTGTGCTCCTAAGCCATATGAAAGAAGCCGTAATTGAGTCTTAGACACCGTGGTATTTATAATCATTTTGAAACCTCAGAGAGAACAAACATTTAGAGGTTTATAGACAGTCATCATCTTTATGAAGTGTAGGATCTATTTCTGCATTGTCTGCAGGACCCTGCTGAGAATCTCCATGTCCTGCTCATCAGAAAGCTGCAAACCCAGCATGGGCTCCATTTTTTTCCAAGGATGTGCGCATACATCTCTTATAAATAAGCAGTTATGGTTGTTTCGTTAGACCTCTAATAACATCTCTATTTTATTTTCCTTTCAAAGATGTTTATTCAGTGTTGACACATATTTATAATATCATCTCAACAGTAAGACTCTATCCTGTCAGATTTACAGCTATTATAA